AGAGAGAGAGAGAGAGAGAGAGAGAGAGAGAGAGAGAGAGAGAGAGAGAGGCGACAAACAAACACAAGACAGAGCCAAACAGAAAACCAGGCGTACAGAATGAGAGGAAGACATATATGTAGGGAGAAAGGTTTGACGCCGTTACCCTTGGAGTTGATGAAAAACGCCCCCCTCCTACCGTGTGCGTCGGAATATCACCGAGCCGTTTCTACGTGCGGGTGTCTCGTGGGAGTCAATGTTGCTGCTGTTGGTGTCATAATTTTCACCGGCGCTGCTGCAGGAATTAGCGTTGAACGGCCCGGCAACTTTTTTCCTGAGAATATCGTGTCGTAGTTTGCTGGGCTTGGCTCCTTTCAAACGAAAGAGTTTCCGCCGCCCTTTCGCTCCGCGAAACGTTTGGCGTTGTATCGCGTGGCTCCTTCCGCATGCAATGATCGGCCCATAACTCTCCGAACTGTTTTCACCCCTCCCACCGAACAACCACTGTCGAAAACGTGCTGGCTCCATGTGCCTGGGTTTTTGTCCGGCCCTCAGAAGTGATTCTGATTCCTACCACCCGTGTGTCGACACTTGATCGCGGCATCAGCGGTCCTGCTGGAGTCGCCGGCGGGACGGTGATCGTGAAGCAAGCGTTACCCTATGTCCGCTGTGTCGGGGAGGTGAGCAAAATGAGTTCGTGCGTCGCTCGTTCTTTATTGATGCCAAACTTTGCCTTTTCTTCATTACAATTCCTTGTGCTGTCGTGGTTTTCTCGAACAGCGCCGACTGTCACAGCAGCGATTACATCGCGTCGGCCCCGTTTCTGTGCTGTTCATGGGTGAACTTTGTCGACCACGCTTGAGTTTCGCCGACTCGTGAGCGCTCTACTTGCAGGGGGGCGACGATGATGGCACAGCCGACGTCATACCCACCCAATCATGCCCGAAAGGAGTCCTCGAAGACGGCAACGCCTATATTTGCATTTTTGGGAACCGCTTCTCGGTGTAGCTTGATGTGTGTGTATGCTGTTGCACATCCATTTTCGGTTGCGAGCGCATGTATGGCCTCAACAACCGTCCCTAGCATGTCAGGTCCTCCGCTGAACCCGACTGAAGCACTTGCCAACGCCCCCTACGTCCTCTCGAGGGCGCGTGGTCAACGGTCTAACCACTAAGGCGTGCATAACATGAGCCCCCCCCCCCCTTTTTTTATGTCGGTGTTTCCTCTCCCGGTGCCCCCCGCGTGCCTGGAACCATCATGACCCCCTATTAGTCGTGGCCCCTTACCCTCGACCGGGCATACTTCGAGAGCGAGGCGTTGATAGCTGCCTTCAAGAGGTGCCCAGCCCACTCGCCCGAGGTCTACCACGCAGACCGCACCATGGCCACCATTGTCATGCACTACATCGGTGAGGGGGAACGTTGCGCCCGCGGGGTTGGGGTTGTTCCACACATCGGCGTCGAGTGTGAAAATTTGCTGTGTGGGTGTGGATGAGAGGGTGCAGGGGTGCCAATTGGCCTGCTTGGTGATCGTAACCCCGGAGTGCCGCTCTTTGGCTCGGCGGCCGGTAAGCCGGCAGCATGTACCATGTCGTACACTGTTACCCCACGCACGCACGCTCGCGCGCTCTTTCCGATGTACGCGAGAGCGATGCTGCTGTCGAGCACCGTCGGTGACACAAGATATCGCACGTCCTGGAGCGATTTTTCAAGTGCTCGATTCATCCGCGGCAGAAAGAGTGGAGGCGTGGCGGCAGTGGAAATGGCACGTCTCGCCGAGAGCTTTCCGAAGACGTAGCGTTTGAGTTATGAATCATTTTTGTCGTGCCGTTGTCGACCTTTGAAAATCGGTCCAGGGGGTGTGATATCTTACATCATTACACCTACCGTAGGCTGTGCAACGACGCAACCCCCCCCCGGCACCGCGTCCTGCTTCGTAGAGCCGCCGCACATCATCCTGCGGCTCGGGCTCATCCAAGGCCTCCGGTACAGCACCCTCGCGGAGGACATGGGCACATACCTCGCAAGAACGCTGTTCTTGAGCTCCTCATTGTACCTCACGGGGTCCCAGATGAAGGAAGAGATTGGCCGCTGGGCCAGCAACTGGCCGATGTGCGAGCTCACAGAGCAGGTGGGGAAGGCCGAGGTAGCCCGTGGGGTTTGTTGTGGTTTTCCGTACGAGTTGTTGGCCAAGGGCCTCTGTGTGCGAATCGATGGAGGCCTTGTGGTCAAGGGATAGAGGGGGCGATGGTTTTACCAACCCTTTTCCAGGTGGTTGTCAGCTCCGATCGCAGGTCGGCAATGGGTGTAATGCTTGAGTGTGGCTCTTTTGTTTAGCATCGACTCAGCTAACCGACTGAAAAATGAACGGACGTCAATTGTTCTGGCTCGCCTTTGTGTTATTATTTTTGGCGTCGACCGCGCTAACAAGCTGACGAATGCATATACGCCAGTCTCAGTGCGTTCGAAAGAAAATGATTCCAAGGGCCATGGTCTGGGCCTGTGAGGGGGCGTCATGGGGGAGGCTAGGCTACGGTCCGGATTGTTGACAGACTGGACGTGTTTTATCAAGGCTCGCGCATTCGTTTCGGAGTGCTTTCATCATCCTCCTTGCATTCACCACCACTCTTGTCGCCGATGTTGCCACTATGTTTTGGACACTGCTCTCTATTCTTGCGGTGTTTTGAATAATGTATATTCAATCAGAGAAAGACTACCCATTCAGATAATTCCACAGTTCTAGCCGAAGGGGATGGGTTATTAAAGTCTTCACAGCGAATGGGAAGAACACCGGCTGGGTGCTGGGCTTGTTCAGGGTCTATTCAAGCCTATAAACTGAACTTTAATCAGTGATGCCAGCTGTTTCTGACCGCCTGTCCCCCCCCCACCTCCCTAATGTGCAAGAACACTGTATAAAGGTACAAGTATCACAAGACCTCTTCCTAGTAGTCTTCTTCTATCGACGGTTCAACGACTTTCGGGGGAGAAACCCTCCGCTATGTCGTTTGTTGTAGCATTCTGCCTTCACAGGAACACGTCGTGTGTTGTGCGGCAGGTCTTCTGGGTCAAAGCTCTTGCTCTCTCGTACTCCGTATTTTCCTCCTCCATAATCGTTTTTACCCTCCTCTTTTGTTCCCTTTCCCTTTCCTTCTCCTTTGCCACTTCACCACGGATTCTCCTCATTGCCACTATCCTCCTTTTCGCCCGTGCTACCTCTCATATCCCAACCTATTGGGTGCGGTGGGATCTGGTTGCCCATTAGTCCATTTGTGTTTGTGTGTTGTGAGAATACTATTGCATCGCTACTTTAACCGGCTGACCAATGGAAGGACTTCATCGAGAGATGGGTTTCGTAAGGCAACCTCCCTTTTTTCATGTGTTCTCCACCATCGCTGACGTAATCGAAGTTGGGTTTTGGAAAGCAACCTCACTTTCGCGACCACCGCTGACTTTTCGAAAGGTGGTTTTCTTCAACCCTTTCCAGGGATGAAGTCAACCATCGCTCTCTTTACGGAAATATTGTTTTTTTTATGGCAACCTGTCTTCTTCATGCGTTCACCACCACCGCTGACTTTATCGGAAAGGTTGTTTTCTCCGACCCTTACATGGAGTCCGACATGAACCGTTGGACTAGTCCGGAGCTCGACGAGGCTGCCGCAGCCCTTAGGGCGGACGTCCCCCTGCGGCTCCACGCTTCCAGGCTCAAACAGAAGTTCATGACCAGCTGCGAGGTAATCCCCCGAGATATACAGCAGTGATGGGTCCTTGAACGCAAGTCCGCATGAATATGGTCGCAGGTTACCCTGTATTAGGCCGCATGAATGTGTCCGCAGGTTACCCTGTTTTAGGCCGCATGAATATGTCCGCAGATTACCCTGTATTTGGCGGCATGGATCAGTCCGCCGGTTACCCTGTATTTGGCCGGTGAACTCGCGCGACGCGTGTGGTTGTTGTCTCATGCTACTCTAAGTCGTTTCGGGTGTTTGGCGTCAGCTCGCCCGCCAAAGGTCTCGGCACTTTTCGGCTTTGGATAGGGACCACTACTGCCTGTCCACCGCAATTTTGTTTTCCCTTGTACACCCCATAGCCCACGGTGCATTTATTTAGTCGATTGCCTGCTACTCTGAGCGTACCGTTTCCGAGGCGACCTAGGGGATGATCACGGCAGGTTGCGGGGGGGTGGTAGGTGTCACACGTCTCAAAAGCTTTGGCGGGCATGTACGCATCCCGTGTGCAGGAAGTTTCCGTTTTTTGGAGAAAACTTCACTTGTTCGTTTCCGCGCCCAAAGTTCCGCTGACCCAGCCTTCTGTGTTTCGCCTCTGATCCGCCCACGCCTTACCGCAACACTGTTTGGTCCTGGCGGGTGTCGTCGGAATGGACATGGGATATGGACCGGTCCTGATCTATCTGGAATGGATCGGGTGTGAAAATGGCACAGGCCCTTATTCACGCGGATCTGCACACGGGTTCCGTGATGGCCATGGAAGGATCAACACAGGTTAGACCTTACACGAACGCGTAGCCAAGATGGTCGCGTGCACGGGCATTGGGTCTTGCAAATGGCGTTCGCTACCATGTGTCAGTGACCCGGATTTAAGGTACATGCAGTGCTTTGAGTTCCACAGGTACGGCAGCATGTATTCAAGTGTCCCAGAAAAAGATGGGACGACGGCGCACAACATGCCCTCTCCTTGTTTCGCGCTGCCGGTGAGGGCCATCGCTTGGGTTTGGGCAGGATGGCTCGCAAGAGGACGGGGTGAGAAGTAGAGAAGTCTTGGCCTGTCTTGTGACACGCTCAGGGCATTAATGAGCTAAATGGTTCGGCGCACGCACCCGTTTCTTGGTGTCTTCGACAGGTGATCGATCCCGAGTTCGCGTTCTACGGGCCGATGGGCTTCGACCTGGGCGCCCTTATCGCGAACCTCCTCCTGGCCTACTGCGCGGTGCCCGGTAATGGGCAGGGGGGGGACTACGCAGAGTGGCTGCTCGAGCAGGTGAGCCATACCGGAAGCAATTTGGGCGGCATGACATACCGTGAATTCCGTAGGACTGGCACGGAAGGGAAGCTGGAATATGACTACCTCTCGACTGCACTGAAGCCTTTTCAGTTGCGAGGAACGACACGGTGCTGTCAACCACGCTTCGGTTAGCCGATGCTACGTCCGGAATGTATTGGTCCTGGACAGGAGCTGTGACGGTCACCCACCCACCCACCAAGTGCCCCCGTTTCTTTGAATCGCGGCACAAGTGTGGGGTTCGGTGAGTTCCACGTCCGGCCATCGAATAAAATATTTTTGAAGAGGCTTGTCGTTTCGTGCCGAGGGTTTTTGGGCCTTGTTTCCCCCGAAAATCGTGTGCCTTTTTTGGGGTTATGTTTCTGTTGGATTCGACAGGTGTCGACGATATGGACGAGCTTCAAGGTGGTATTCCTGGAGCTGTGGAGCGACGAGGAGTTGCACAAGGGACAGGCGTACCTGCGGGCCATGTACCCGGACCCAAAGGGCCTCGAGGATGCCCAGGCGCAGTACATGCAGATGCTGTGGCAGGTGACAACACCCGATCTTGAAACGCCATTTTCAGCATTTTCAAGTACTTTTGAGTAAATGTAGGACTGTCGGGGGGGTATCACCCGGCTGAGGAGCAGAAAGAGACAAAAGACAACGACAAGACGGCAACATCTTTCCCAGCTTGTCGTAGATATAGACGCAAGAAATGCGCTTCTTGGCTTGGCCCTATATGATGACAATCCGGCCGATGCCAACAATGTGCAAGGAGGAGCCCAGACTCTCGAGTTTTGCTACTTGCAGCCACGGCAGACAAAAACACCACTACCGTCAATATTCTTCCACAGCCCGAACCTCCATATCTTTGATTATCAGGAGAGGCCTCAAAGGGCCAAGTCATGTCCTGGTTGTAGTAGGTCAGGCTACGGTGGCATGTGAAGCCGGCCACATGTTGGATCCGACCCTTCAGTCTACCCTTCCCCCGGCGTGGAGACGTCTGGAACAGGCCGAAGGCTTCCCATTTAGCTGCTGCTCCTCGTTGTAAGAAGTTGAAGGCAGTCCACGCCTAGGACTGGTATTCTTTGTCCCCTCGGACGGTAGACCTTGACCTTGAGCGGCAAGGAAATTGGCTCTCAGTGTACAAGACATGCCGCTACTCGAGGATGATAAGCTCCGAACGCCCGTCTTGAAGCCGCTCGCACGCTTCCCCCTCTCACCCCTCTGGCCTCCTCCCGCCGAAACCCCCGGACCCAGGACACGCTCGGCTTCGCAGGGATGAAGATGATTCGACGCGTGGTGGGCATCTCCCACGTCGAAGACCTCGACGGCATCAAGGACAGAGCCGCCCGCGCGCAGTGCGAGTCCCACGCCCTCGCCCTCGGGAAACGCCTCGTCATGGCCTCGAAGCCCCTCGATGGGAGTTCCGACGGCGTCATCGCCGAGGCCAAAGACGTGTTCGTCTTGGCGAGATCGCTTGGTGGAGGCGGTGGATCGTGATGATGCAGGTCGCGTTCTGCGGTGGTATCGGGGCGTAGCGGGAGTTGCGGGTACCGACGTTTCTAGCTCAGTCAGCTGCTTGACGCCGCGCCCGCAGGCAGCACGTCAAAACGAGAAAAATGAGTGTTTTTTGAGGGCTTAATCTCGAATCGCACGGAAGGGGATAGGGTTGCCTTTTTTTCCTTTTTTTTCTGCCCCTTTGGAATTGCTCTTTGTCCACGTCTTGGCAAGAAGTCGCTGCCTTGTCCAGTCGCACTGAAAGCATGCATGTTGCTAGAGTCGGGAAAGCCGAGTTTGGTTTCGCATAAGCTGCGCCCTAAAGTGGTAATTTTCAAGGACCCGATTTTGGTTGTCCCTCCATAACTTTTGACCGAGATCGAATTAAAAAAAAAAAGACAGCTTCAGAACGCCCGTAGCATGGCGCAAAAGAGTAGCGAGTCGCCAGAGAAAAGACAAAAAAA